ATCAGTGCCGGTCAGATTCTCGATGCGGCTGGTCTCCAGGACGGCGATCATCTAAACCTCCTCGATTGGAGCCCTAGCCGCAACCTGGCGATCGTCCTCGACGACGTCGTGCACTCTCTGAACCCTGGCACCTCCGCTCATGAGATCGTCTTCGACTACATGGGCAGTTCAATTTCGAGCCTCAGCTGGGCTCCCGACGGCCGCCACCTCGCCGTTGGAATGCACGATTCGCTGATTTACATATGGGACGTCGAACGAAAGTGCCCGACGAGGACTTTGAGAAATGTGCACTGGAGATCATCTCGAGTCGGGTCTCTGGCTTGGAAATGTGACAACATACTGACCTCAGGAGGCTCAGACGGCAGAGTTGTCAACAGCGATCCCAGGATGCCGTCTGCAGCCCACGTTGTTCAAAGCTACCGAGGACACGGGCCCGGCGACATTTGCGGGCTCAAATGGTCACCTGATCACGCAAGCTTCAAGCAACTAGCGAGCGGAGGCAGCGACGGCCTGGTTCATGTATGGGATGCTCGCAATCAGAATCAGTGGGCTTTTCGTTTCAAGGTTGCTGCTAGAGATGCTTCTGTCAGGGCCCTTGACTGGTGCCCTTTCAAGGGTTGCTTGCTGGCCACAGGGGGAGGTGTTGGAGGGGACGGCAAGAGCAACGGATCGATCAGGTTCTGGAGCACGCAAACCGGTGCTTGTGTGAGGTCGGTGAAGACCGGCAGCACCCGAGTCTGTGCTCTGATGTGGAGCAAGAACAGCGAGCAGTTTTTGAGCTCGTGCAGCGGTACCGATCAGGATCACATGACTCTCTGGGACTACCCATCCTGTGTTAGGACAGGAGAGCTTGTGGGTCACGTCGCCCCATACTTAGCTTTGAGCCCAGATGGCACCACGGTTGCATCGGCTACGGGGGGCATCGACTCAACGCTGAGATTGTGGAACGTTTTCCCCCCAGTTCCCAAGCCCACATCTAGAGCTCTCTTCAGCGGTTCGTATCATGCGCACATCAGGTAATCACATTTGCGCGTGCACGCACACACCCACACTCACACGCAACACACACACACACACACACCATGCGCGCATACACACACTTTTACTTGTTTATTTATTAACATGCCAGTAGTTTAGCCGTGTCACTACTACACTCACGCCACACTCTCAGTCGTGCATGCACCTCTTATCGGTTGTGTATGCCCCATTACCACAGACCATCGATCAAACCAGGCCATTGCTGCCCTCGCACCGCACCATCAGTCATGCATGCATCGCCCATCGATCGTGCATGCCCTACTCATGCACCCGTTGGTCACAGTCACTCATGCATGCACCGTTAATCATCCATGCACACCCATGTTTCCACTCACCCATTGCTTGTGCTCGGTAGTGCACAAACCGCCCATTGCCAGAAGTCAATCGATCGCACTTGGTCATGCATATGAGACAGGGTAGTTTTTGACACACATCACATACTTCTAGCACATATCATATGCTTTTGAAGTGTTTCGTACATTTCTAGATCTCAATATTTGAATTCCAGAAAAAAACGGTACTGTGAAATTTTTGGCATGGCTCATAAATTTTCTTTACGCTCACGACACCTTCCGACACCTCTCATATTTTCTGACACATATTTTCTTGGTAATTTATCCTAACCCAAGTGTCCTGATTTTAGAAAGATTTGCAGTGTCAACATGCTCAGTAGTGTATATCCTGCTTGACACAGACAGACACATCTACATCTTTGCTTGTTTATTTATATATATCCCTGCAGGTCATATTTCCAATGCTAATTCTGGAGTGCGAGTTTGTTTCCCAGCAGCAAAAGTATCTACATTATTTGATTGCATTAGTTCGTTATCCCAATGGTGGTAGATGACTTCGGCAAGTGAAAAATTAGAGGGGTTGGCTTTCTTGTGTGTGGGTATGTCTTGGTGTGTGCATGTGTGTGTTATGCTTGTATGTATCTTTTAAAGGTTAAAATTTGGGCTATTTTTGGTTTTTGGTGTGAGTGTGTGCGTGTGTAGGTGTATTTCAAGGTGTGTTATTCTTATTCTTTTTTCTAATTGTTTTGGGTTATTTTTGTTGTTATGGTGCTGATTTTCTGTGAACTTGTTCAACAGGATTGTATCTTTCTGAGGGGTTCGTGTGAGTTCATTTCTGCTCTCATTATTACTTTTGTTTCTAGGTATTTTGTGGTGTACTAGTGCAGGTTTTATGTTCAATTTCACTTTTACAGAGTTTGTTGCTCTTCCTTTTGTACTATTAGTTGCTGGATGTTTGTGTGTGTGCATGTGTGTCTTTGTATATGTGTTTCTGTATGTCTGTTTGGGGCATGCAGGTTTTTCTTCTCTTTTTCCCCTGCATTAAAGAATGAAAAGCGAGGTCCTATCTACTTTTATTGAGAAAGATTGCTCACCAGTTTCATATACTGAATTGCGTTTTTTTTTTTGAGAAACATATTGATAAACACCTGGACAGTATTATATTTAAGAAAAAGAATGACTGAGAAATGAACTTTTTTGTTGGTGTGAAGACTGTTAAATTGAATCAGTGTGATTGATACATCTGCTTGTACTTTGAGGAGAAGATAGCTGTCAGGTTTCTACTTTTTGTAGTTATCAACAATTATTTTCTTAAATAAGGTACTTTGTTATGATATTCACTAACTGAACACAGTTTTGAAGCCTGTGCATTACTTAATATTGAAGATTGCTTTTTTAGGAGTTTGACTGACCGAATTTGAAACAGGAGAAATTTCATTAAACCATGTTTCACATTCTTCTAATGACACTTAATGCACATTCATACACTTAAAACATAATACCAGATACTAACACAATTTTCAAATGCTTCAGAATTTTAATGGTTGTTTTTTTAGTAATCTTGTAAATTCATCAAAACATATATGTTGGTGGAAAATATTACCTCAGTTATTTTGTTGAATTTTCCTAACCAATTGTCCATTTTAAGAAGATTTTCCATACAAACATGCTCCTCCATCTCTTACACATCTTATGCTCTTACCCTTCATTACAAAAATCCCGTGCTTGTCTATTTATTTATTTTTGCAGCCGTACTTTCTCAGCATTTCGCTTTTTTTGCCTTTAATTGCAATTGGTTGCATCTCCCAATTGGTGACGGTCTGATAGGTAAGTCTGGTAAGTGCAAAAACAAATTTTTTTTACTGGTAAGTCTATGTCTACTCTGATTTAGTTGATTTTTTTTAAAAGCATGTAGCTGGGGACTTGTGTAGGTCTCCTAGCTGTAGTTCATGTTCGCCTCATTTTGCTTGGTTTCGTCTCTTCAGGTTTATCACAAATGCAATAAGTTTCATATATAGTACGGGTTAAGAACTTTGTTAGTCTAGCGCTATCAGTAGGCAAGGCTTGGAATTTGTAGAAGTTGCAGAGGACTTTACAACTACATGATTTGTAGTAGTTGCAGAGGAGTTTACAACTACATGGACCAGTATCCCTCCAGCAACCAAACGAAATGCAACGATTCCGATTACTCGGGTTTTCTTGCAAGCTAATTACTTTTTCATACTGCAGTCAACAGCGCATCCTTGAAAGAAAAGTTGTGAGCAAGTTTCCAGTATTTGCGGAGGCTCTTGTGTCTGTCGCCTTGAATTTCCGTCCTCCGTGTTTACTGATTTTTTTAATTAATTGAGTATGATTGTAAATTTATAATGCGACTTAGTGTAATTGAAAGTTCTTTTTTTAAGGATGTAATAAAAATACACTTCCGAGTTCCATGGTTTAGTTTCTTTGGTTTTTAATCAGTTTATTTGCATATCAAATGTCTCTCTTCATTAGGAATTTTACTATAATGTGCTTGAAAGTTTACAAAAAGATTGTAAATATTTTCACATATTACAGGATGGTTCCGACATTTCCAATACCAAGAGGCAAAATGTGAATATTTTACTGGAGTTGAGCACGTCAATCATATATTACCAAATTATGTAAGGTTAAACATGCAGACTTTTAGATTATATATATAGAATTGGACTTAATTTTTTTTCTCATTGTTAATCATTTTCTGGACTTAAGGACCTTCATCAATTTATAGTGCATTAACGTCTCCTCTAATTATTTGTGTTAAAAATGTCGAAACATTATTATTGATGACTCATCATTTCTACAATTCTCTTATGAGTATGGTTTAGTTCCCAATGCAATGAATTCTTAGATGGTTTGGCTTCACATAAAATAAGGAGCTTTGCGACAGGGACCCAAAATATAAGATCAATAGAGGGGACAAGTGATGTGTCCCCTTCTTATTGGATAATAAATTGGTCATCATTGATGTGTACCCCTCCTTTGCTATGTTATGAGAAGAAGAGAATATAGTTTTTTTTATTAGTAGTTAAAGTAGCTAGTTTGAGTGGTTGGATTTTCCTAAAATAAATCAAAATATTATGTTTGAAATTCAAACTTAGATAGCTTAACCATCTATCTGTCCCTTACAAATCTAAATAAAAATTTATAGTTTGTAAGAACTAAACGACGACTAGGATTTTAATGTTTCGAGATTTAAATCAGTATTCGTGTTTGGTTCGTCTGAGATTAGTATTTTCCACTAATCCCAAAATGGATAGTAAAGAGTTCCACTATCCCCAAGCATTCCGGACATAGGACTTCCCAATACTATTATATCCTCTCACCTCACATACTCACCCATATTAATGTATTATAATATTATAATGAAATATGTTAAATTAGAGGGGGTGATTATAATCTTAGAA